TTAAATATATATTTCACATAACCAATCACATAAAAAATATACTAAAAAAAGTATTGAAAAAAGTTCCAGCACTGCACTTAAGTACAAACTACAAAACAATATATAAATATGTACACGTTCATATTTAATTACTTAAGCACATTACACAAAAAATTAAAATAAAAAAAAAATCCCAGATTTATGAAAACTTGAGCTTAAAACTCTTGGATTGTGAGGTCTTAAAGTTTAAATTCTTAACTAGGTAATATGAGGCCTCATAGGCTCAAATTTTACTACCTCAAAATAGCAGCAGTGCTATTACGAATGGACATATAAGCAGAGCAACATTTTTTTTTAAGGTCAAATGGTAATTTTTATCATTGAATTTTAAACTATGCTTTTTTTTTTTTTTTTTTTGTCTTTAAACTAATTTAAGCTTTTTTCTGTCATTTAACTTTTAAATGTACATAAAATAGATGCTTATTTGAACTAATTTGAACTAATTTAAGTAGTTTTTGGTCCCTTAACATAAATTTTCATTATTAATTTAAGGACTAAATGAGTGCAAGGACAAAAGAAAAAGTGTAAAGCTTAAATAAAACACAAAACTCTATTTTTTATTATTATTTTAGGTTTTTAAGAAACCACCAAGGGTAAATCCACGTTTAAAAGTTGTTTTATCTGCATGAAGTTCAACTAAAGGAAAGAATTATATTACCCATTTCTCGACCGGTCTCCATGGTGATAATCTCTCTCAAAGTCTTGCAATCTTTTATTTCAAGGTGCACAAGCTTGTCCAAACCTTTAGCCAGAGGGGAAGAGAATAGATATTTTAAATCACTACAGGACACAATACTCATTTTCGTAAGTTTCTGAACACAATAAGGCGTTGCTAAAGTGTTCCATATCCTGTCGATCTTAATCTCAGTGAATTCCAACTCCTCCAGCATTGGAAACACAACCTGCAGGGACAAACAATTCTTTTTATTCTTGAGAAAAGCTTTTTTTTTTTTTTTTTTGAAACATAATAATCAAGAAAAAAGCAAAGCTTATCATTTTGTTGATAAATTAAGGGAAAAGGAAGAAAAATTGTAATATTCGATATTCAATAGATATTGGGAAAGCTCCACCTAAAATGGATAATTAAATGTAACCTTTTCTGTTTAATTTTACTTTGGTTTTTCTCTTATCCCCTTATTCCCCTTTGTTTATTGAATTATAAGGCTAAACTCTCAAATCCATTCCCAAATAAGAAGGTTGGGACAGATTTGTTTTTCAAAAAAAAAAAAAAAAAAAGAGATAAAATATTTTTTAAATTATTGATCAAGATAAATAACCCATTATTTAATATGTGATATCATCACATGTCGGGATTTTGTTTGTCACCTAAACTTATTTTTAACAGAAAATTGATGTATAATGACATTACACATCATCATAAATTAAATAATAGATAATTTGTTTTGATTGATGATTTGAGTAGACAATTTACACCTGTTTTTTATTAAGGGATAGATTTATTCTTATCGTCATATTTAGAGGTGGATTTAGAGATTTAGCCAAATTATAATTAATCTAAGGAATACAACTAGTAATCACACTTCTTCTTTTTTTATAGAACATAGCAAGTGGTTCAATTCATGAGAGAAATGGGTAGTAAAGGGAGTTATACAAATTTAAATTCTTGTCCACGGGTGAAAATTTTTTACATTTAGAGATTTGGCTAATGGACTTGATGGTCTTCCTCCTAGTAATTAATCTCACCTTACATCTTTCCACAATAGTATATAATCATACTTTTCTCTTCTTCTTTTTTTCTCCTTAGCAATTTATCTAATATTTTTGGGGAAAAAGATAAAATTAATCTAAGACTTTTTTACATGCGAATAGAAACATTCTGCTTGACCTAAAAAACAGAAAAGAAATGAAGAGATAAAACATCATCCTAAATATATATTCACTAACGACAATATCAAATCTTAGTTTATAAAAATCTGACTTAAATAGTATTCTGATCTTGGAAAAGCTAAAACTATAAAATTACTAGCTAGCTATTTTATTTATATTTATATATTACATAGAGTATTGAGATGGTTTTTGACAGTACTGTAGCAATCTCCGCTATTCTTTAATTTGGTCTTCAAGTTTGAGAAAAGAAAGGAATTGTTAAGTCTTCATAATTTCCTACGGTATTATGAGGGATGAATAAGGAATAAGTATTTTTTTTTATTTTTTATTAATGTAAAAGAAAAATTAGATATTATAAGCTAATTATTCCTCCATTCCTCTTAAAGTTTCTCAAATTTAATTTATTTTATAATTTAATTGAAAAATAATCACTACTGTTAACTAAATAAGCCAATCATTTAATCTTGTATACAAGCCGTAATTGACTTGAAAAAATTCAGAAAGATTAAGCGAATAAATAAATTAAGTACCTTTTCATTGAAAAGTGACATGCATCTAGAGCTTGTTAACTGACTCCCTCCTTGATTTGTGATCGGGTTATTCTCTTCTTGGCAAAAACTAACAAAGTTTGGCAGTTTTTCAAATCTTAAGGATCGTACTTGGCCAAGCTCAATTTTTGTAGCTGCTTCCTCAATCTCATGAACGGTTACTTGTGCCTCCTCAGCAACAATCTCTTCAATTTTCTCACAATCTTTCAAACTAATTTCTTGGAGTTGGAGAAGCTGTTTTACTACATAGAAGGAGAACAAATTCTTGAGCTGATGACAACATTCAATGCTTATGATTCTTAATTTGTTAAAAGATGTTGCTCCCATATCACGACATATCTTTTCCATTTTTGTCAAATTTTGAAGAACCAACTCCTCCAAGATTGGAAATGCATTGCTACACACCAACCTCTCTGAGTCAATCATAAACTGAATCCCTGGAGCATTTCGAACATAGAGATATCTTAGTTTTTGAAAACCTTCATTGTCTAATTGATAAACCACATTCTTAACACCATGCAATCCCTCTAGATGTAGTTCTTCAGAGATTTTTAATAACTTTGTAGCTGAAGTATGAGAACTGCCTGCCTTCAATTCTAACTTCAATATTTTTGTGTTTTCAGAAGAACTGTCCCGGTACTTCCACAAATCTCCTACAAAAATCTTGTATCTTTTCAGTTCTGCATTAAACAAGCCTTCTGGGATCATTGGGATATCATTAATACAAACTTCTAAAGTAGTCAATTTCTGCAAAACCTTCAACTCAGCAAGGCTAGCATTTCCATTTTGATTTTCATGCTGCTCCATAAACTGCCACTGGTCAAAGCTGTTGGCCATTTTTAGCTCCTCTAGTCTATACAATTTGGACAAGATATCCCGTGAAATTACTTTAAGGTTAGTACAATCACTCATGTCTAGCAACTTTAACATCGTCAAGCATGCTATTTCCATTGGCAGCTCAGTAATATCACATCCTGCAAGGTTGAGGACTTGTAACTTCTTCAGCTTTCCTATGATCTCCCCCAAGCCTTCTAGTACTCCTAACTTACTTTGATTGAGACGCAATGTTCGAAGCTTTGTTAGGAGGGAAATTGATTGAGGCATCGACAAGAAATGCATCTTAGTCAAACTCAAGACTTCGAGGTTTTTCATTCCCTCAAAAAAGTCTGCTGGGACTGCAGTTTCTGAAGAAGGATACTTGTTAGACAAATGAAAGAAAGTAAGCTGAGGACATTGTACCTGTTTATACCCTCCTTCGGAATTGCCCCGCAACTCCAACTCACGAAGAAGTTGACTAATATCAGCATTTGGCAAATAAATCCACTTGAGTTTTGCGGATATTGCCTCCTCGTCTGGCCACACCGCTGCTGCATCTTCATCTTTGGAAGATAACACTTCTCCATCCCTGGAAGCAATTGATATGGCAGCATCTTGGACAGCATCTTGCATGTCGAACTGCATATTGGTAGGACCATTAAGTAACAAAGAAGAGTCTCGGAGATTTTTCACCAAAGCGAGTGCTGCATCTCGGAACTCCTCTATTTTGTTGAATTCTGGGAATAATTTTAAGCCAGTACCATACTCCATTAAGTCTTCAATGGATGCGTTATGGCCCATTAGACAGCAAAGCAAGAAAGTTTGCTTAAGTTCTTCTCTTTCCAACTGACTAAAATGGAACTCAATAGCTAAACGAACAACAGCATATTCTCCATCCCTAGAGGCTTTAAGTTCTTGCAATAGAGAATTCCAGTGCTGATCTTCCTTTCCTCTCAAAGCCTTTGCTATTCGTTCAATGGCAAGCGGCAGTCCGCAACATCTCTTCACAATCTCAATAGCTTCCGATCTGTGAGAGCTTTCAGTATCATCTTCAACTCTCAACTTAAACAGCTCCTTAGCCTCAACATCTTCCAACTTGTCAACATGGAAGATGTTCTCATTTTTAACACCCATTTTTTCTGATAGAACTTTATGTTCCCTGAATGTAAGTAAAACCTTACACTCCTTTTGTTCTTCTCCTAATGAGCTCTCCTCATTCTGTTGCTCAGCTACAGGACGCTTCTGCTTGCTTCCAGAAGGAATTCCAAGATCCTTCAAATCTATTTTCCCCCAAATGTCGTCCAAAATAACAAGCGCATTCTTTTTTCTCAGCCGTTCATTTATTCGATCAGCTACTCGCCGAAGAGAGAGTTCTTTAGGAAGCTGGAACATACCCAAGCCACGTGCCAATTCCTCTACAATTTTTGTCAAGTCAGGATTGCTTGTCACATTAGCCATGACCACCACATCAACCAATTTCTCTTGCTCAGCTTTTCTTTTAACCTCTTTCACCAGCGTTGTCTTCCCCATACCGAGCATGCCACGCACCCCTATCATGTCAATAGTTGGACTCTGCAGTGCCTTCATGATATCGGCCAAAACCTTGTTTCTTGATTCAAAGTCAACAAAATCATCCCGTGAAACAATACTTTCCTGTTTCTGAAAATTAAAGTAGGAAACACTTTCGAAAACCCTTTGCGTGAGTCCATCAACATCTGCAGCATACTCCTTAGCTTTCTCACTAAGATCATAGAGAGCCTTGGGATTAGGACAGCATCCAAAGCAATACTTCCTCTCAGCTTTTGCTATTAATTCATCTATGTCGGCCTTTCTCTTTCCACTAATGTGCTCGTCCACATCATTCATCCACTGCTTGACCTCGTTGGAAATCTCCTCCCCCCGTTGCTCAGCTTCATCAACTTTGTTCTTCACGTCCGTTCTTTTATTGACCAGCTGCACATCCACTTTAAGCTTCAGCTTCTTAACATTTTGCTTCCACAAGTACAGAGCAGTGATTGGATATATGACAAGGTACGTAAAAATTGGATCAAAAACCTTGTCAAAAACTTGGTTTGCCAAGCAAGAAAGACTTACATAATGACTCATATTCCTGATCTTTTTTTCCCTTCGTTTAGAAGGGATGATGCACTTAGATCAGTCTGTGATCCACAGTTTGTGATAATAGAAGAGGAAAAAGAGTTAATTTTTTGGATTTTTTTTAAAGGAATGTAGAGAGCAGGAAAATATAGGAGGGGAAAAGGAATTTAAACGGGAGGCCAAGACTAAACTCTGAAAGTAAAATGGCCGTGGAATGTAAAAAGCGAAAAGTACAGAAAAGAGCTTTGTCAATGGAAGGCCGGGAAGCTTTCTGAATTCTAAGGCACATTTGATGTTCTTAAATAGCTCTCGTTGAGTTGGGTATAAGGCACATACAAAAATAGCCAAGGGGTTGTTCGGCAGAATTTAAAAGCCAATCCACGAGATTCCTTTCTCACAAATTTAAAAAACTTTAAAAATTATTAGATGAAAATTTTAATTTGGCACTTTTAGGGCTCAAAACTTGCTTTTAGGCCACCTACCAAAACAAACTAAATTTTTTCTTGAATAAGTTTTTAAATTTGTGAGGAAAAACTTGCTTAAAAACTCTACCACACGACTTCTAAATTCTAATTGCATATTTTATTATATTATAAAAACAATTAAAATCTTTAATAAATCTTTAAAAAAAACTTTTAAAATCATCAATAAAATTTTTAATATTTCTCTAAAATTTCAAATAGTTAAACATTAATTTTAGTCTCTAAACTTTAATTTTTAAATATTTTTTATATTAAAATTTTTTTTAATATATTTTTTTATCATTTAACTTTATAAATAAAAATTATATTATAATCTGTTTTGTAACATACTGTAAAATCAAAACTATTAAACGAAAGTGAGTCATTGATGTTGAACCCACCTCTCCCTCTTTTTTTATGGTGCTAATCTTGCAGCGTAGCGGATGATTGTAAGACACGAACCTCATTTTACAAAATGCATTTTTTTTTCCTTTCATTAGCTAAGCGCCTGCGCGGCCGCTAAATCCATCCAAGATGACGTCTTTAGTCCCCAAACTATTTCTTAATTACCAAAGAGATTAGTACACGTGAACCGCATGTGGCGCGGCATTAAATCCTAGTTACAAGTTATAAAAATAAAGATTTGTGTAACTTATATTTTTAAATTATAAGTTAAAATTTATTAATTAAAATGTTTTTAATTAATTTTATATAAATTTTTATATTAAATTCATTTTTTTTAAAAATTTTGAATATAAATATTATATTATATTTCTATATTTTTATATTTTATTTTATTTAAATCTTATGTGACATTTATATAAATTTAATTATAAATAATATAATTAATAGGATTTAATCTGTATCAAAAATCCCTAAAAATAATTTATAATGGGCTTAAAACCTCTAATAACCAGAACGAGAGTTCATTCACTTTTCCTTTCTAAGATTAAATATATAGATTGATGCTTGATGTACAATAAAAAAATAATAATAAATTTTTGTATTGTATTAAAATAATTAATATTATTTCATATAAAATGTACTTTTATTACAAAATTCTATCATACTAAACTGGTTCTGTCTGGATGATATTGTCCATTTGAGAAAGAGGAAGATAACCCTTTTTAGTTTTTCTTCTATCTCTTTCTTATTATTGTTTTCCACCCTTGTTAATTGAGATGTTAAGTTAGAGGCAGATTCAAAATATGCTTTTACCCTTATGCCACTAGCTAATTCTTTTCTTCTATTACCCTATATAATAAAAAAATGGGATGAACCATCGTACCCATTCTGCCACCAATTATAATATTTCTGATCAAGGTATCCTGACCACTCATTATGAGTTTTATCTTTGACGTTCCTATTTCTATTATATAAAATTTTATTACATAGCTTAAAATTGTATTTTGATCCCCAACTAAAAAGAAGAGTCTATTTTTCTAATTTTGTTTAGCATTTCTATTAACTTTTTACTAACATTGCATGTTAACAAATAAAAAAACACTTCGACTTTTTTTCACAAATGACATGGAAAATCCACATAAAAATTTGATGATGTGGACATAATTTTAGTTACACGTGAAACTTGAAGCATGGTTATTATACGATTGCCATTACAATTAATTTAAATTAATTCATTTATTAAATTAAAACAAAATTACTTTTATGCCCTCGTCTCTTTCCCTGGCCCGTTCTCTCACGTCAGAGGAATGTTAACAACCCAATCGAAAAACCTAGGTCGGTTCCCCCTCTCCTTTTTTTCCTTTACCTTTATCTTCCTCTTCGATCAAAATCCATCCATCAGATCCCATCTTCCTCCGTTCTTCTCTTCTCTCTATCACCCTCTATTCCTCTCCTATTCTCACATGAGAGGTATGTTAACAGCAAAAACCAGTTTGGCACAGCACTGGGTTTCATCGTCGGGCACAAACCTAGAGCTCACTGTTGCGTGATGGCATGTTACCCATCGCGCAATCAGCAACGTCGACCTCGAGCGAAAGCATCACGCAACAACAAGCTCGAGCACAGGGAACAATCACGCACCGATAAGTTTGAAAACACGGAACTCATTGATTTACTTCTCATGATATTTGGGTTTTGAAAACACATCTCAAGAAATTATCATCTTTGCATAAACAGAACAAAACGCAACTCAAAATTCCCAAATTTTTATACTCAACATAAATCCAAAATTTGAGCAACAAGAGACATGTGAGCAATTAAGCTAACGAAAACGTGTTCTTACGAGAACACATTGTTTCAAACTATAAAATATGATCTTTAAATAGAGGAGGCTTCTGGTATTAAAATCTCACCCATTTAAAATTTTTTGTTTTAATATAATTTAATGGCAAAACAGCAGACTCTCAAACTAAAATATCAGAAGCAAGTAGAAGCTTCACAACATTGAATCTCTATGGTCCATTCCTAACGATTTTCATATCTAAATCTAACCCAAATTTTGTTATAAAAATTCATCTTAAAAGAAAGCAAAAACTCTTTTATCAATAGAATGAGTATGCTGGATGTTGTTTTGAAAATTTCTTTTTATTTTTATGTTTCCATACTATTGGCGTAGCATAACAGCAAACGAAGATGTTGAGGTGGAGAAGTCGAGAAGACGAAGACTTTCCTTTCACTTTATCATTTTACTCCTTTTTTTTTTTTTTTTACGTTTTACTGTTTAAAGAAAGGCAGGAGTATTTAAAAAGTGGGTCCCTTGGTTTTTACTGTAAGTTTTTCTGAAATCATTTTTGTTAATTTGTTTAGGTGGATCCAATTGTACATGTCATCATTTTTTTTTCCAAGTCAGACTTAATTTTTAGGTTTATTTTTTATGTCAATAATTTAATTAAAATTTAAAGTAGAGTTAGTGGAGCAAAAGTTTCGTGTTAGTATTTAACTGACAAAGGGTTAAACAGCGCCGAGAAAAAAATATTTAGAAACTAAAAAGAAGTTTTTTATGTTAAAGAACTGAAAAAAAGCTCTATACAAAAGTTAATGGCCAAAATGAGATTTTAGTCTCATATTAACGCGTTTTTGTCCGTTCGATAAAGGGGAAGAGAACCGTTTTTTTGTTCTCAACAGAACCTCTCTTTCTGATTTACCCCTTTGTTTTTAATTATTGATTGAGAGGTTAGGCAATGACGGATTTGGAATAGCTATTGCCGTCATTATGCCACTAGCCAACTCGTTTTTTATTAGTGCCATAATTATAAAAAAAAAAAAGAAACCTACTTTTGTCTAATTGAGAAAGTGGGGCGGGGGAGGTAGGCTATCTCTTTCTCCTGGATACCGAATAAGCCTTTTAGTGCCATAGTGTTTTTTTTTTCAAAAAAAAAAAACTACTTTTGTCTAATTGAGAAAGTGGAGAGAAAGCCATAAATTTTAATATTTGCTTTATGTTTTTACTTTTATTATAAATTTTTTTATTATTAAATTACTAACCATGCTTCTATGTCAACAAAATGTTAATGTTATTTTTAGTTTTTAAATTTTTAAAAATTTTGAATATTTTTAGTTTTTAAATTATTTTGTGTACTTTTTTGTTTCTAAACTTTAACAAAAATATTTTTTAA